ATTGCTCATAATGATCATTACTACTGAATATCATCTCTTTAAAATAATCATCTCCACAGAAGGCTTAATGAAACTGAAAAAGTTTCGTTTTTAACAATCTCCCAGAAGGATTTGTTAAGGTTTTTTATGCTCTCGCTGAGCTCACAGTCTACCAGTCTGCTGTTACTCTACTAACCTCCCCCGCTTTTTCGTCTTTTTAGCTTTATTATTAAATATAATTTTCTTCTCACTTATGCCATATACAATTGAACAGCAAAATTACAAAATTTTTAAAAGCAGCATAATAGTATATATTTAATAGTATATACGCAGCATAATAGTATATATATTCTGAAAAAGCGAGCGTGATGCAGTTTTTCCGGACTCACCTCAGTTCATCATTCCAGTGTTCAGTTTTCTTAGTAAGATGGCTTTACGGAACTTTTTTTTTTTTTTTTTTGTCTTTTTATTATTAGAATTTTGTGTGTTTACTTTATTTATTAAATATCGCGTTCATGGAGCTTCCGCCACATAAAATTCCACTTCAATAGCAAAATCATAAAATATTTAAAAACAGACAGTCTTGTGCACTGAAGATAAAATGTTTTTTTCTGTATAGTTTTGCCACTGCTCGCTTTGAAATTGTTGAATTTGTTAATCAAAAATTCATTAAAGTTTCATAAAATATGAAATATGAAATAAAACAAATTCGAAATTCAAAATTTGGTCTTCCAGGTGCCCATGTTCAGTTGGAGGACTGTGTTATTCAAAATTTGATGGCTCAAGGTACCATCGTTTTTCACATTGTGAGAAACATTTGTACATTTATGTTGATTCTTTATTATTTAATTTTTTTTTAAATATAATAGAGACCGATAATATTTTTTGGCAACAATTTGGAAAGTGATACATCATTTATAGTGATTCAACACAAAATCCTATTTAAGACTAACATCTCTTTCAGGCTAATAATTTAGAGCAGTAGATGGTTATGTTATGCATAGCTCAGCATATTTGTATTATTTTTCCTACTGGGTAACTTCAAGAAGCTGTTGGTTATGCATTTAATTGAATTACATAGTTCATATCACTAAGAACTGTAATATATATACTGATTGCATTCTCAAACTAGCTACTAAAATAGACATATCTAAATCATATTTTATAGAAATAACTTTAATTAGAATGAATTTACAGAATTTATTAGCTCAAAAAATACCATTAGTCTCGAAATGGAACTTTGCATTGGTTCACTATAAATGATGCATCACTTTTCAAATTGTTGCCACCAAATATTATCACCCTGTATTATTTTTAAGGAAGTTAAGTAATAAAGAATCTACATGTATATATGTAAGTATGTTCCTTCCAGTGTGAAAAAATGATGGTATTTAGAGCCATCCAATTTTGAATACTGCTGTTTGTACTTTAATGAATTTTTGATTAAGAAACTCAATGATCTGAAAGTGAGCAGTGGCAACAGTATTAAAGATAAGACATTTGTATCTCAAGCATGCAGGACTGTTGCCATTCAGAAACATATAAGGTATTTATCTTTGGTTTTAGTTAACAAACTCGGCTCTATGAAAGCAATGTGTTCCCATGACCTCATGTAAAATATATTTATCTTCCACAATCCAGCATATTGCGATTCAGTAAAGCCTAGCATACTTTCAAATTTAATCTGGAAGGTTGTGGAGTAATAAACTAAGCAGTTTAAAGCAATAAACATAGCTCTTAATATATTTTTCTCCTTTTTAAAATGCTTGATTTAAATAAATATATGATGAAACCATGAGATCTCTAAATTAGAATTATTCAGTATTTTTATGAAACACTAGCTAGACTGATTAAAATTATTGTATACTTTTTATAACTGCTTTAAGTGGTTGGGTTCTCAAAAGGCTAATTTGAAAAGAAATAACATAACAAATACAAAAATATATATGGCAACCTCTAACACTCTATCAGGAATTCTAAAGATATGCTGTTTTTAAATATTTTGTAATTTTGCTGTTGAATTGAATTTTATGTGGCATATAGGTGCAAACAACATGATGTTAGTAAATAGAGTTAACATATAAAAAGCTTATAATAAAAAGATAAAAATGATTTTTGTTAGTCATCTTACTAAGAAAACTGAATATTGTTATGATGAATTGAGAAAAGACTGAAAAAAATTATAAAATTGTTATATCAGCACTTAACACTGCATTGGGAATTCTAAACATATGCTGCTGTGCAGCATTTAAAAATGATTTTATTGTTGAAGTGTATGTGAACATAAATGCAAACAAAACAATGCTTAAAAATAAAGGAGGAAAAAAAAAAAAAAAAAAAAACTAGTAGATTGTGAGCTCAGCGAGTGCATAAAAACCTTAACAAACCATTCTGGGTGACAGTTAAAATCTGAGAACCTTTCAGAGTTTATTTATGTACTAGCGGAAAGTCCACCAGATGAGTGGGCTACAACCAAAGCAAAATTTATAAGTTCTGTGTACATATGAAAAGAAAATATGTAAAAACATTTCAATATGAATGAAATCAGTTCATTCTTTCCAAGCAACAACAAATTCATGAATAATTCTTGTTGTTGCCAAACCAGGAAACAAAAACTTTTGACACTTCAGGTTAATACATATACGTATCCAATTTTGCCATCATGTATGTCATGATTTAAATTTAATCTAACAACTTTTTCTCAATATCAATAAAAGAATTAAGGTGGCAATAACATATCATGTCAGTTATCTTAACCTGAAACAAAAAAGTTGCCAACAGCAGCTGTTTATGTAAAATGCTGACATCAATGGAACATTTTTTACTATAATAACGTCACATGCAACTTCAATTACCTGCTTACTTCAAGGTCAGAATATGGCCTTATATAATAATAATATATTTAATGTTTGGCAATGCTATTTTTATTTCATATTTTATAAAACTTACACATTTTTATTTAACAGTGGCAACAGTTTTTGAAATACAGCAGATTTGTATCTCAGCTTGTGAGACTTGCCATTAAGAAAAATGAGTGCAGAAATTAACATTTTCAGTATGTTTAATTAGTATCTTGGCTGATTAAATTCATATGAAGATAAAATGGTTGAAATGGTATCCTACGAATTTTTGGAATTCAGAAAAATACATTTAATGTTTAGCAATGCTATTTTTATTTCATATTTTGTAAAACTTACAAATTTTTTATTAATAAAGTCTGCAAATTGAGTTAAGCAGAAGCTGACAGATGTACAAAATTTTAATAGTATAGATATTTCTTTTATTTAGGTGAATTCAGAGATTACTGATCAGTCTTTGTATCTTCCATTGCAAAATAACTCACTAACATTTTCGCCGCTTTTTGTTTTGTTTGTTTAATTCTGTATAAATCATGCACCTTTAGTTTTGCCATTTATTTTTGTTATGCATGTCTTTTCTAACTCTTCTATACCACTGATTAAAACTAAAATATTTTTGTTCATCTTTTGCTCTCTTATTAAATCACTAGATCTTCTGGTTTTTAATTTGTAGCCATTACTAAGGAAGTTTTTTCCCCGTAATAGATCAAATTTATTCAGTTAAGGAAACTTAAATTATGCAAATTTCTTTCCTGAGCCTTAGTGATATTCAGCATGATTTTTCATATTAAGTTTTACTTGATACAAATTGTTTTAGTCTATGATAGATATTTGTTGAACTTTTTATGAAGATTTAAAGCAATATTTAAATGTTTAATATTTGTATTTAATGTTGTTTCACATTAATATTTGCTACATTACTGAGTTTATCTACATTGTCAATCCATAACATGCGCATTAATTATTAATTTTGTTGTCATGATATTTAAAAGTATTTTGATAAATGAAGCTTATATTCCTACTCTGAATTTTCTTTTATAAAAATGTAAGAAAATTACAAAATGAAATTGGTCAAAGATGTAAAATTTAGAGTAGCTGATTGAATATTAACTCTTTTGGCAATGCTGCTGGCATTTGCCAACTTTGTATGTAGAAGTCTGTTTAGTTGGTAGTAGCGATTGCTTAACTATTTACTATCTCAGATCTCATCTGGCAGCTTGCACATATGTGTTTTCCTATTCAACCGTTTGAGACTAGTAGGACTTGAGACCACTTGAGTGGCAATTGTTCTAGTTTCTACAACTGAAGTAGGAATTTGTTAATTTGTTGCAAAGGCATTCTAACACCTATAAACAATATTTTAATATTTTGTGAATTTTTTTTTGGAGGGGGAGGGTGTTTCAAAATATTTTTTACATCAGAAACATGTTATTAATAATTTACTAACCTGAATAATGAATCATAAAGTGACTTTAATTTGGAGCTCTTTTGAAAGGGTGCCACTCTGCAATGTGAAAAATCGCCTGGAAACTCTTGGTTTTTCATATTTCGGTATATATTTATCATGAAAATTACTTATCCAGAAAATGAATATTTTATAGAATAGCAACCTCTTATAAATGTAATGAGAATGTTGGATATTAATTAAACTAAAATCATATAACTTAGATGGCAAGTGTAAGATTTTTTTTTTTTTGGGGGGGAGGGAAGGTTGATGTAAACAGCTAACACTAATTCATTTTTTCACAAATAATCAGGTATGGTAGATATCTGATTGAAGTATAACTACTATAACTAGTATTAAGTATAACTACTTGAAATACTCCGAGAAAAATATGCGTTCTTGAGATGGAGGAAGAAAACTGCTAATAAAAGATGTTGATTAAGCACATATTGTTGAGATTGAAGATAAATTAAAAAAAAAAATTAAGCATCTAATAAAAATAAATGATGTAACTCACCAAAGGCAATGGAACAGTATCAGTTAATGCTCAACATTTTTCTAATTTTGCTTGTATGTATTCTAATCTTTTTCAGTGAGTCATTTGCTGTACAAATCAAGTATTTTTTTTTACTTATAATTGAATATATTCCTTGAATCTATAAAATAATGAATTGTGCTTTTTTTTTTTTTTTTTTTTTTTTTTTGTTGTTGTTGTTTAGTCTGGAGCTAGCATGTGTGGTGATGTAAACATAGATTTGAATGAAGAACAAGAAGAATTGTGCCTCAGGTGGCTTCAGTTGGGTATATTTTATCCGCTTTTCCAGTTACATGGTACAGGTGCTGAATACGTAAGAATGATAGTTATTAAACTGTACTCAGTTCTAACACATCTATAAACATCTTTTCATATTTTATATCAAGAGATGGTGATACTAGATATTTTGTTATTTTTTTCTGCTTTAAAATTTAATTCATATAGTTCTATCAAGTATGTCAGAAAGTTCAGTGAGATTTTATAAACAGACAATGCAATGGAAATAATATTGCATTCATGACCCCACTTCTGGGGGAAAAAACTGCATTAAAATAGTTCTTCAAATATGATCATCGGAAGCTCTTTTCACGACAATATGTAGGTTCATATTTTCTTCTTCATTTTTCTCAGTACGTTAGTGAAATTATATATTAATCGTTTTATATTTAGTAAGTTTGTTAGTGCTTAAGTTTTTGGCAATATATATATATTGTGCCTAGAAGAATCCTTACCCACCCTTTTTCCCCACAACTTTTGATCATACACATATACTTCCAATTACAAAACCTGCTAACTCCCATTTTTCATCACATCATATGGTCTCCCGGTATATTGCCAAATCTTCGGTGCGCAATGAACTGGAATTTGATCTGTCAGCACTATCCTCATCTTCAGGGCAGAAAGAAATGTTTAATAAAGTAAACAAATAAATATTAAACTTTTTTTTGTAAATTTTGATACCCTTTAGATCATAATTGCTCTTTATTTTATAAATTATGGTTTCATATTTTTAATTTTAAAATTTCTGCATGCCATCTTACTAGATTTAAATTGATGATCTATAATCGAGAAAAACCTCTAATCCGGAATTGCGGAAGTTCCGATGAGTCTGGATTAAAGACTTTGTACTGTATATGCTTTATTTAAAATATTTCTGGTATTAGAAGTATATGTCTATGACCTACAATTTTGAAAATAAATGGTTGGTTATGGACTTTTGTTGATGACCTTTAGAGATGACAAATTTTAGAATATTTCTACTGAGCACAGAAGACTGAATTTCATTACATTCTTTCCCTTAAACCTGGGTATACTAAATGTGATGCACAGATATGGACTGCTTTAAAGGATGATGTGAATTGAAAATTAGCTCTTATGAGATCATGATTCCTTTATTCTGAGCAAAAAGAATTATTATTATTATTATTATTATTATTTTTTTTTTTTGCATGGATACCAAAACAGATTTAATCTCTAACATATTTAGTAAATAATAATAGATGAGATTTTATCACTTTAACCATTAATAATAAATTTATTATAATAAATTTATTACTATAATTATATGTGAACTTAAATTTGTCACTCTCTATAAATCTTGCAACCACTTTTGTACTGTTTATATATATATATATATATATGGATTATATATATATATATATATATATATATATATATGGATTGTTTATATTTCATCATTATTTTTTTCCTAGGATATTTTTTAAAGTAACTTTTAAAAAAAAAGTTATATACATAAACTTACAATATATTGTAGTGTGTATATATGTATATATATATATACACTACAATATGTAATCACAAATTGGCCAGTACTTGCATACTGGGCAGTTTGTGATACATATTTTATAGTTCTGAAAAAGTTTTAAATTTGATAATTATTTCTACCTGACTTAATTATGTACTTATCCTAGGTCAGAGCACAAAATATTCACTTTTTATTCAAAATTTCCAATTTTTAGTACTTTTGGCATAAATGGGTTAAATGTAAAATTGTTTTATATTTTGAAAATATAGATATTTTCTATTCAGTATCAAAATGACATTTGGCAATTTTACTAGCAGCCAAAGTACCAGGAAAGAAAAATGCTGCTGCTTTAATGTGCCATTGGGGGAGGGAAGACACTTCTAAACAATTTTAGAAAGGAGGTTTAATTACTTCTGAAGATTCAAATTGCTATTTTTTAAAAAAAGTTGTAATTTATTTTTTAGGTGGCATAAATCAATAACAGCAGCTTATCACAAACAGGGACATAAATTTTGAAGCAATGAACTTGCCAATCCAAAAGCATTTCTTTTCCTGGCAGTTTTTTACATTTCATCTCCATATAATTTTTATAATGTTATATAAATTCATTTCTTGCCTGTCTTTTCAAATTTGGGTAGAGGGTAAAATACACCTTTTTGGAAAAATGCAATACTTCGTTTTTTTGTAATTTATAGTAAGTGAAAACAATCATGATTTAAAGGGGAGGGCAGAGAAAAGTCTTACAATTCTTATTACTTGATTTTGATTATGATTTGAGCTTTGTTATATCATTTGATTTATAAAGCCTACCAAAACTTGGTAATTAATCACTGGTTGCCAGTAAAACTGACAAATACCATTAAAAGTATATTTCACTCCTTTATTTTTGTGTGTGTTGTACTTGCTTTCTATTCAAATTAAAGTACAATTTTGTATATATTTAAGATTTATTTATTATTATTATTATTATTATTATATTTGCATTTTTTGGTGATAGATGGGATAAACAAATAAAAATCCTTCTTTGAAGTAAAGAAAGAGCTTTTGGATTTAATAGGCTTAAATTTTAACATTTTCATTCACATGTTTCTGCTATTTTATATGTTGTTTCTATTTCTAGCTTTATACTGTTGGTTTGAATAAGAAAGAATTTTCACATGCATTACAAAATACTCTTTCGAGAAGGTACGAATTAATGCCATATCTTTATACGTTGCTCTATCTAGCCCATACTAAAGGATCCACTGTCATGCGGCCTCTCTTTCATGAGTAAGACTAATTTATATAATTTGATATTAAATATATGCTATCTATGTAGAGTGTCTCAATGGCAGAGTTACAAGTTTGTAGGAGGAATAGATTGCACCAAGTGATTCAGAATTATATAAGAGTGCAGGGTCAAAACCACTTTCTGGGTGTGATAGATGATGCTAGTCTAAGCATTTTTGCTTAGTTTCATTGTCACACATAGATGCAGATGTACATGGGATTATTACAAGTGTATTACAAAAGAGGAATTAAGCAATACACATCTGGGAATTGGAACCACTTAGATGTTACATTTGGGCAACAGTGGATCAGGCATGATGGTCAAACACCAGACCCATTGTGCCTTGATTATTTCTTCTGTGAATATATAAAAAGACTGGTGTATTACACTTTTTGATAGTACCAAGGAATTGGTTGGAATGGCTTCAGGGAAATTCATATATTCTCTGAATCTTTCAAAATTTCATATGCCAAAGATGTTAGGCCAGCATTGCAATTCATAGAGGAAACTTCAACCACTTTCTTTGACTTACTTTTGTGAATGTACATTTGTTATTAAAATGCATATTCACTTACATGGTGTCCTTCCATTTCTGGTATTTTCTGCATACACAGTTGCAACAACTTGTCAATTCCAATCCTATAGTGCTATGTGATTTGGGGTCATCTGGATACATCCTACTCTTCCTATATATTTGTAACCTTGGCACTAACTTATCCTTTATATTTTGAAATATAATATAATGTATTGTGATATTTGATACATGGTATAGATGTAAAAAAAAAAAATAATGTTTTTGATTGTAAAATATAAAAATTTCATTTCAGCTCAAATTATTGGGCTTTATATTTGCTATAAATACATACATAAAATGTTTTTAAAATTTTTTAGGCTAACTTTTTTGAGAGCATTATTGTGTTCTTTCATATGATGTCTGCAAAAACAATAACGTGTCACTGGAAATTTTTGAAAAATATTAAACTTTCATCTCATATACATGATTTATATTATGAGATTAAATAATCATAATTTTTGAAGTTATATTAATTTATATTCTTAGCTTCAGATATCAGAAATAAATGAAATGCTAATAAAAAGTCTACATAGTATTATTTAAAAAAATTCATTTCTCTTCCTCTAATTTTGATGTCTGTAAACCTACTTATAATATAATTCCAACAAAGAGTTTTAAGAATATGCTTTTTTTATTTATAGTATTCCTAGTGCCTTAAACATTTGTTCTGAAAGAGTAATATGCAAACAAATTTTTACCAGTTTCAGTAATAATATTCTGTTTAAAAATGCTTGTTAGTAATCTTTAAAAAAAAAATAATAATAATGATTCCAACATTAGGAAATATGGATATAATTTTGTTTTCAACACTTTCCTTTATTGCAATGATTTAGCAATGCCATTTATTGGATCTACAAAATTTCTTATTTATTTATGAATAAAATAAATTTGAATTCATCCACTTTATTAAATAATATGATGGTGGCTTTTATTTGAACAAATGACATTTCAATTTCTTTCATGGATTCTTGTATGTGTTATTAACATATGTATTATTGTTAACATATGTGATCTTGTATGTGTTATTGTTAACATGTTCAAGAATGTTCTTAGTTAACAGACGAATTCTACATGAATACATTCTTTGTAACACATACTTAGTTAAGAACATTCTTGTTACTTAATGTTAACATTTAGCTTCTATTTCACCAATTCTTGCATAACATCATATGTTTTGTATCATATGTTGCATAACATCATATGTAAGTTATTATAGCTAAATGTTACTTTGTCATATGGTTTTCTAATATATTCCATGGATGAGTAGAATTAAAAAAGTGATTTCCGTATAACTTTCTGTTGTTGCATTGCCAATCAATGAATGATCCTGCATTAGGAAAATGTTCTGCAGAAGGGCTGTGTTATTTATAATAGTATTTTGAAGCTCTTTATATAACTAGAGATATTTTTCACATTGTTATAGCTTTGCTATCAGCAGTTTTAAATGTTAATGTTTCATTCTGATTAAAAATATTCCATATTTATATGTTCTAATTTTTTTCTATATGAGACATAATCAGTATTAAAGTAGAAATAGTTAATTTCTTTACCTGTTAAACCATAATAAGCTTTAATAGTTAATTGATTTATATATGTGTCTTTAGATAAAGAATCTACTATTGTTTCATGCTTTGTTCATACGTATGTAGGTCACATTTTCAGTATTTAGTAGTCGGCACATGCCTGTGTGTCCTAGAACAAATGTGGTCTTGAACTGAACATATTTGATCTTTTTAACTAGCAGCAGAATTTAATCAATACTCTCAACATACTGCAAGTTTTAAGCAATAAGTGATTATCACTTTCCTTCTTTCTTTTCTGAGTTCTCTAGTAAGAAAAGTGTTAGCAGATGTAAAAAGCTCATCTGTATGCATAAAATATTCTCAACCCTTTAAATGATCAAGTTATCAACATACAAATTATTCATAAGTAATGAAAAAAGTGGAAGTAAGGCCCTCATTTGTACATGAACATTGAATATATAATTACAAACTTGCCACAATATATTATTCTAATCTTAAAACAAAAAATAATATAGTTTCGGCAAAATATGCATCTGTTCTGATATTTTCTTTCACTTTTGTCAGTAAATGATTAACCGTTTGACTGCTATGCAGTGCAAAAGCGCTGTGTTCATTTGTCTCGAAAACCACGACGCAGCACTCTTGCGTTGTAAGTTTCAGTGTGTCTGTGTTGCTCCGTGGGTGTGAATGTACATAGTCTGACCTCACACATACTTTGTAACACGAGTGCATTCTAAAATAACTAACTGCGTCGCGGTTTTCGAGACAAATGAATGCAGCGCTTTTGTGCCACGTAGCAGTCAAATGGTTAAAAACTTTTCTCTTAAAGTTGCAGGTTTTAGTTATAATTTATATAAACAGTTTAAGTTAAAATAATAATAAATAATAATTAAATATGGGGATAAAATTTTGAATACTTTAAGACTATTTTACTCTTTTGTTGAATAAATTAATAAAAAATATCTCTCTGATACTAAATGTTTCTTAATCAAACTTGGCTAAAAGCAATATTTTCATGGCACTGACATTTTGCCTGCATTCCCATGCAGCTTTAAAGTTTTATGGCTCAAAATTACTTGAAAATGCGCTAGCATCAAATTAATTTTTGTTTTTAAAATACTGATTTTATTTTTAATTTTAGATTTCCTCATGACAATGAGACTTATGCTATAAATACCCAATTTATGTGGGGATCATCACTTCTTATTTCACCCGTCCTGGAAAAGGTATTAAGTTTTGCATCTAAAATTTATATAAAAATGCACCTCTTGTAAACTGTGATAACTACATTGTTTTCTATATTATATAGGGAGTGGAAGAATTGAATTTTTATTTGCCAAAAGGTATATGGTATGACTTCTATCGGGTAAGTTTTATTAATCACAGAGTCTAATTGAAAATTTTCAAAATACATCTTTATATGTTGCTTATTTAAGTCTTTAAAAAGTGTTGAAATATATAATTAGGCTTGTAAACCGAAGACAGAATTTAACTCTCTTTATGTTTAAGTTAGTAAATAGCATTAATTCTTCCCTCCATCTTATTTGATTTTATGTAACTTTGATTCTTTAAATTAATACAGTGGGGAAAAAAGTACGAACAGCTTGGGATTAAAGATTGTATGAATTTTAGAGTTTTGCTGAGTTCAAATGATAAAAGAAAACCTGGTGGATTTCATTCCCCTCCCCCCTGGGGGAAAAAGAAGCAGAATAAATAAAAACAAATACAAAAATATTAAAAGTTTTAGTTTCTGCCTGACATTTCTAAAAAGCAAAACAAGAATCATGTAAAAAGAAGATGAATATAAAAAACATAAAAAAAGACAAAAATTAATTTTTTTACATTTTTCAAACATTGATTTTCTAATTGTTTGTTTTCAAATTTTAGGATGTTCTAGTCTGGATATTTTTTATAAAATATGATTACTTTTTGATCAAGTGCATAATTCTACTATTCTAAAAATTTCAAATATTTCTTCTTCTAAATCCAAACATTTATGAAATGCTATTTATTTACTATTCTGTACATTATCATGATCAAAATCTTCTTGCATTGGATTTTTAAGATGATAATTTGATTGACCAATGATTTCTTGATGATTGTTGACATCATTATTCTTTTGATAGTGATCTAAATTTGTTATCTAGTGCACCTTTTCTTGAAACATTCTATTTATTTTTCATCATTTCTTTATTGCATTAATAAGCTGTTTCTTCAGCTTTTATATAATTATCACTTAATCCGGAAAATACACCATTATCTAGCATGATCATACACATGGCTTTGAAGAGGCCACTACTATTTTCTGGAAATTTTTAAGCTGTCCTGTCATTTTGATGAAAATGACTACTTTGCCCCATTTTATTAAGTTATATATTTGCTTTTGTTAGGCAATCATAAATTATTATTCATAGCCTCCAAATATATGTCATCATGATTGCCCGATTAAATATCAAATTGGATTGTTCAAGTTATTTGATTAGTATGGTATCTGTAGTATTCAATGAGTTTGAATGAAACATTGTGAAGTAGGTTGACTGCAGGGATCAAGGTAAATATTCTTGTATTGATAAGATAGGTGCAGAATTTTTCAGAAAGGTATGAAAGTATTGATGTTGAAATATTGCACGTACATTTTCTATTAAAAATAGTACGCGACTAAAGCAAAAATCTAGGCTAAGTAATGAGACAGTAAAAACTATGTCAAATTATGATCCAAATTGTGATATATAATGTGAAAAAAAACTTACGATAAGGTATAGAATGGCCAAAAGGATGTGTATGATAACTTACTCATAGAAATATCAGTGTACAATCATAGTAAAATTAATTCATTTCTAATAAGTGCATCTATTCTTAGTGGGTTCTCTCACTGACGAATATGACAAGTTCAACATGTATATATCATAAAATATTTTCCCGTCATCTTTCTCACCATGATTAACTCTCATCCCATCTGTCTCATCCTAGTGAACTGTTTTTCGCTTCTTGAAATATAGCCAGCCTATCACACTCTGTTTTAATAAAAAAACTAAATATCACCATAAGTTGTGCCACCTTTTTATCAAAGTGGGCTTGGAAACAAAAATTTTGAATTCAGTCTTATAATCTTATTAACTATGAATTTCACTGGTTACATTTGAGAAAGTGTGTGTATTTTCAGCTGTCGATGGATTTTAGGTCAAAAGAGTTTGGGTCTTTTGCAGTACTAAAATGAAAGGTTGAGGGAACTTCTGTCTCTCACATGACACATTTCTTATTTTGGTTTTTATTGCTGATGCTTAATTAAATTTTATTGCTGATGGTTAATCTGATAAGTGACAGGATTATTAAGAGATTTTCAAAAACTAAGTGTGAATATTTTGAGGTTCCCATTTCAAAATTGCTGCATGTCCCCTTGCTTTCTATTTAAGAACCTACTGCAGTAAATATCAGACTTTTACTTTAAAAAAATTGACTTTTTAGTGTAATTCTTATAATTTGTGAAAATAAACTTTCTTAATAAATTTGTGAAGCTAGATGCAGTAAATATACATGGTTCACTCTTAGCAAATAAGGTTATTTTTTTTTTAAATTTTAATTCTGTTTAATTTTAAATGCTCATCATATGCATATGGTAACATCATTAACAGTATTCTTCAGTTTTTGCATTGGTTGTGAACATATGCTTCCACTCACAAAGTTGTTTTAAATGATGCAAAAATCAATTTCATAAAAATTAGGAAATCTAATTTTTTGTATTTCTTCAATTCCTATGGAATTTAAGAAAATTTTATATTCCTAAATTCTAAATGAAATAAGAAAATGTTCACCCCCCAAATGCCATAGTTATAGTTCTCTGTGATTTGTATCATATTCTTTAATTTATAATTTTGTTATAAGTGGTACATTGATACAATTTTCACACAAGTAGTTTATAACTTTTGAAATGCCAAAATTACATTATTAATAGTCTTTTAAAAGTTTTATTGCTTTAGAATTATCGTAAAATTCCCTTCTGCCGAGAGTCCTCCTGTGTCTCCATCCACTTCTGGGTTTCTGGATGGTATTACACCTTACTTGAGGCTTCTGATCCAAGATAAATACAAATTCCAAACAGCATTTTCAGCCTTGGGTAACCTAAAAATATACACATATGCATCTGTATGAATCAGTATATCATATATATGTACTTTTAAACTTCAGAAGACAAGATTTATTTCTTGGCCATGAAACAGTCTTCTAGAAATGGAAACATCTTAAAATCATACACACACACACACACACACACACAAAAAAAAAAAAAAAAAAAAAAAAAAAAAAAAAAAACCCACTAAACAAGAAATATTTAAAATTTTTAATTGATGTAGATAATATTCTGAGTTATCTATGCATCAATACTGAAGCGATTCAGAGAATAAGATATCCTTTTTGGAAATATATATATATATATATATATATTAATAATATTCTCAGCAGTCTGCACAGAAATGCTCATCGCTTTATTAACATTAGAAACACTTCACTCATATTTTACTTTTAGGTATCCGTAGACGCAAACATTTCACTCTTTAGTTTGTGCATCACCCTGAACCTATGATTTCCGGCTTTAAATGAAATATTTATGTTAGTTTTTTCCATACAGAAGTCATTCTTTTTGTATATTATTTTTGTAATGAGTATAAAATTTTCTTAAATATATATGTAAGGAAAAAGGGAGTGTTCTAAAAGTTCAATTTCATAACTTTTACAAAGAATTTTTTTTTTTTAAATTTAAAAATGCCATAACATGAAAGTTAACATTTAAAAATTTTTGTAATTAATAATATATGTCTATAATTAATGGTTGCAAAAATAAAGGTCTGGTAAACTTTTGTGGACACAAATACATATTATGAATTTTGTATCTTCAAAAATTCCTAGTAGTGCTTCAGAAAACTTGTAATCAATCTAATGTTAACACATTTAGTCACTATATAAAAACCAAACTATCCATCAATTTGAATGGCAAAATTAAAAAAGATTTCTTTAAATTACAGTCACTTTTTATAAAATTATTAGCTTAAAAGGTTAACATATTTGCTCACATACATGAGAAGTATGGAGTGAAAAATATGTTATTTCATTCAAGAGAAATGTAAGCATCAGTTATAAATATGCCTTTTTGAGAAATGTCTTTTACCAATTTATATTGTATTTGATGAGATCAATATGGTATAATATTGATGTTTAAAAATTGAAAATCTGTTTTTAAAGAATAAAAATTTAAATGAAATAAATTATGTTTTCAGGGAGGAGTACTGTACAGTGCGGGTGAATGGTTTTTGGAGAGAGAAGGGTTATTTAAAGACAGTAAACAACCTGTAGCATTACATATTAAAGCTGGTCATATTATAACAGTACAAAATCCAGCAGAGACTACTGCCAAGAGGTATTTTATGTTTCTAGTAGAATTTTAAGATTAATAATCATTTCTTTTTAACCTATTCAATCAATCAATTTTTGTAACTACAAAAATGCAACTGAATATCTCACCATAAATCTGAATTATAATTAATATAAAATTAGTATTAATTTTAAATTCTACATTTTATTATTCAAGTTTTCTAATCAGAAACTTTGATTCACAAAAGTTGAATGATCAAACACTTTGCTAGTTGCTGTTGACATTATATTACCTCTGTATATCTACAGATGCTCAACTTCCATCACATACTGTTTGCAGTGCACAGTTAGAACAGATAGCTTCTGCTTCATTTCTTGGCAATAAAATTAACACAAGATGAACAAGCATTGCCACAAGAATTTTCCATGGAGAGAGGGTTACCAAAAACTGTCAATGCTTCCTCTAATTGGTCTGAAAATAATGTTGAAATAAAAGAAAGAGAAGCCATCTCTATCCTTCCTTAGTTAGAAAAATAATTTTCTATAAGCCTGCATCATGATTTCCATTTTCCATAAAATTTCCAGGGGTACTGATTTTCAGTTTTCTTCCCTTACTTCCCAGAGTCCATCAATCATCGTGGGTTTGCACTTAGAAAGTTATGTGTTGTGTTTATGTCATTACGGCAAAGCCTAGGTTAAGGGGGGGGAGGACTTTCTAGCAGAAACTGGCTCATAAACATGGGGAAAACCATGAAAACACCCATGCAGTGAGCCCGTTCTTGGGATTCAAACCTTGGACCGATTACCAGTGTTCAGTGAACTTACCAATCGGCCGCTGGTGGGCACCTTGTACTTAGAAAGAGCTCTTTCAAGGCAAAATAGATAAAAACATAAGGAGATTTTGCAGGCATACTTTGAAAAGGTATATATGCAATATCTGTATATAATTTTTTATTTCTAATGTCATGTTACAGGATAACTGAGCATCAAATAAAATGCAAAATGACAATACCTGAAAACCTGTAACAGTCTTCATTTTTTCCCAAGGCATGCAGTGGTACATTTTGAAGTGTGATTTGTTGCTTTATCTTCAATGAAGTTTCACTCGTTGAAAGTTACTGAGATAAAGAAATTGAATTTCTTCTGAACATATTGGATGTAGAACTTCTCTTGATAACATGTTGAATTGATTCTAACTTTTTTTCCACTTTTCTTATTTTTTATTTCCCATTTAAGAGAATCCTGCAACAATGATAAATAACTTATTGAAATTTTTGTTGCTTTGATGGAACCAAATTTTTCCTTCGCCCCTTCATTTTGTATAATACACTTTTTTTGTTGCAATCATTTAAGTAAATCAATGCTTCATCAAGAGTCACAATGTATTTCCATTTATCTGCTAAATAGTTTTCATATAGAGTTCTATGAATTGTTCCGTATTGAGCCACATGCCCTAACAAAAGCTGGTGAACATTGCTTTTTAGTATTTTTAAGTATCTTGGTATATTATTTTATTTATTGTTGTTACAAATGTTTTTAAAGACTTTGTAATTGATTTACACACTGGTGAATTTTCTTTTACCAACGATTTAACTTTAGAAACATTAGAAATAGTACGTTCTTTTTTGGGGTATTCATTTGGAATCGGTGACACAGTTTTTCCCTTTTTGATTAATAATATTGCTTATTTTGCACTTAGAAATTTGAATACCATGCATTTTGAAGTATTTTTGAATTATGAAACAGGAATATTTCTCTTTGAAATGCATAAAAACATATCCTTCATTCAACAGCTCGTTTACATGTGCGACATTTTGAAAGAGAAATAAATTTAAAAGTAGCAGACTGTATTTCTCATTTTAAATAATAAGTTGTTATCAGATATTTTTATTCCAAATTATTTGCTTTTTTAGAATTCTTATCAAAATTGTTCTAAAAATGTGTAAACACCTAAAAAGTTTCAGGAAAGATAACTGCTATTCATAAATCTGCCACTAATGAAAGCTGAAGTTAACCAATGCAGAAGTGCAGTTATACTGATTAGAAAGTGCTTTGAATAAAAATTTCCTGTCAGCAAAATATTTTAGTTGACTCATGCATGATGCTGACAGTTTGAAATTGTAAGCATATGTATCTTTACCCCATTAAAAAAAAATAAAAAAAAATTATGATAATTTACTTTTTTAAGAGACTTGGTATGAAAAATGGAATGAAATAGCTCAGTTTATGTTACATTTTTGACCAGAAAACGCTCTGAATTTATGAATAAAAAATCTTTTAAGAGTAACCATAATTTATTTCTTTTATTTATATAGTCGCCAAAATTCTATGAGCTTACTTGTGGCTTTGGATTCATCCAATAAAGCAAGTGGTTTACTATTCTGGGATGATGGAATCACTAAAAGTATGTATGCTTTAGGCATATAAGTGTACAAAAAATTAATAAGTACTAAAACTATGCTATTTGTGGTTACTTAAAAACATTGATTTTAAAATTTGAAATAGAGGAGAGGAAATATAACTTTTTCATGGTTACTGATTTTTTCTTTTGAAAAATTCTGGTTTCTAAATGTCCTGTTATTAAATGAATGATTTTTGTTATGCTAAAAAAGTATGCTTATTTGTTGAAAAGTATGTATATTTCAGAAATATTGAATTACCTTTTCTGTATAGTTATATATTGGAAGACTTGATTTTATAATTATCTAACTAAGTTTTTAGAAAGAATAAGCTATCTCTGTATTAACATCTAACAGGAAAATATAAATGCAATGTGCGAAGAAATGAAAACTGCAATTTTCTAAATTTTCATTGTAGGAAATACTATAAAGCAAGTTATTTTGTCTTGTACAGTTGCTTTTGTATTTGTTTGCTTTGTTTTGCTATTTTTGTTTCAGAATTCTCTCTCCTCTTTTTTTTTTTTTTTTTTTTTTTTTTTAAATCTTACATAAGGTGCAAGCCAAATGTTCCCAGAATTTATTTATTAAAAATAATACATTTACATGACAATTTTACAGATTTCACTGCCTTTGAAAGAGTCTCCTTCTGTACTCGTAAATCAATTTTAGTGCAATTTTAATGCTTGGAGGCATCTATTAAAATCTAATCCTATCACTTTCTTCTGAATCTTATTTTATTTTTTAAATATCACTTACTATCTAAAATCATTCCTCCTTGAACTTCAGTTTCACATTTGAGGGCAAAAAATAATCACAAAGGCTAAGTAAAGTAGCAGAAAATGACACTCAAGTCAAAAACTGATGGATAAACAGTGATAAATGGGTCAGTGCATTGTCATTGTGCAATACCCAAGCTCTGTTTTTCTACATCTTGGGACAATTCTACCAAAACTTCTACTTCAAAACACTGCAGTATAAAATTCATTCCAGATCTTTTTTGTCACAAAGTTCTTGTGTATGAATTTTATGTAAAAAAATATTAGATCAACACTGTGTTTTCAGATTGAATATGCCTTTTTGTTTTGTCGTGGTAAATTTGGTTCCAGTGAGATGACTGCTATTTCATTTAAGGATTGTAACCGCATGCCTATACTTCATCTCTATGAATGATTTGAGAAACAAAATTCAGGACATTTTCACATTATTGGTTAAACTTCCATATATTCTTATTCAGTATACATACACAATTATCTCTCTCATCTTATATTATCTATATCCTATATGCACTTATTTGTATTCATGTTCATTCCTTAGGATATGACATGAATTTTGCTGTGATTCATCATATTCCCTCATTAGTTAAAACTGGTTGACAAGTTTCAGATGATAAATCAATAGCACTATTAAGATTATGTGTTAACTGGTAATTTTCATGGGGTTTTATTTCATTAATAGCCACATTTATGTAGGTGAATCCAGCTGAAGGGTGTCTAGAGCATGTATCATTGCCAATAAATGTTCTTTAATTTTACAACCATTTGAACCACATATAAATTTCGGTGAGCTTCATACCCTAATATTTTCTGCAACATTTGACAGATCTTTGATTCTGTATTTTCCCGTTTGGAACACGATTTCATTCTTTCAGTTCTTTGGTCTTTAATTCTAAAATAGCTTGACTACAACTTCCCTAAAATGCACAATGTAAAGAACACTGCTTTCTATAGCAAAAGAGCTCGTAGAACAATTCCTAGTGATACTGGAGTTTACAGGCAGCAGTGTACCTGCACACCATAATCCATTTAGGCAGCAAAAGCGCATGTTGAAGCATGGCTAGCACCTGTGCATTCCCATAGGTATATCAGATATCTCCAGGCCATGCTAAATGTTAAGCTTTAACCTCAATTTTGATACAGTTTAAGATTCAAACCCAGGCCCATTAGTATGACACTCAGCATCACAAAGCACTATATTGACTGGGCAGTGCTCCATTTAAGCAATATAACTTCTCTCTGGGAATATTTCGCTTGCATCTTATATACATCATGTGAAGCTAAGGTATTTTGTACTTAACTGTTAAACAGCATTAACCTTATATATAGAATACATGGCCATTTTGTATTTTTCATCTCCATATTTTATAGAAGTTATTATACCTCAATAAAATACATAAAATTTTGATTTTTATGAAGTCTGAATAATTTAAGAATAATTTTTACTCAACACATTAAGAGACATAAAAAAGAGACTAATATAAAAGAATGTAAATTAAAAGTTTAGACTCTATCTGAAATTTTTACTTCTGATAATGTTTTGCATACTAGATTTGCTCTGCTCTAGTTATTGATTTAGAATTTCTTTTATGTAATTTTTTCACAAAAATCTTGAAATCTTCAGCAGTTCAGATACAAAACCATGTCTACACTGTTATTTAAACATTAATGATAAGATTTGTTAATGGCTAAATGTGAGTTCTCGTATTTTAGCAGAAGTAGAGCCAATTTACAATTTATTATTTTTAATACTGTTATTTGATCGAGAAGGAAAAGATTACTATAAAAAAATTCTCGTACTTAATTAGTTTTAATGAAGAAAATACTAGTATTTTTAGAAGAATTAGTATGTAGAATTTTCTAGTATAAAACCAATTCTTGAAAACATTTTGTAAAAAAATTACATATGGCACTTGAATTACATAAGTGTGAATTGTGAATTTGTTCATATGCGATTTTTCAATATGTACATGTGATTTTTTAAATATATTTTTAATATTAAGATACTTTTTGGAGATTTACAGCAACATGTAAAAGCAGCAATTATATCACATAGTTTACAAGCATAAACATAGTTTACAAGCTAAATTTATCATAAATGCATAATATTTACATAGATATTTTCGTAATCTTTGATTTACTACTATAAAATAGATACAGATCTGTCAAAAAAAGTTAAAATTTTTCAAAATGCAAGCATGCAAACTTCTTAGTAACTGGCTGTGACAAAAATATAAACAAAGGTAAAGATAAATCATATTTGCACAAAATAGTATTTACTGTCCCAGTATTTACAACAGTATTGTAATGATTTTTGCATTCCTGTTGTTAATATTGTGGTAAGCTTAAGTATCTGCTTAAAATACCACATAGCAGTGGTCACCTTTGCCTGAAGAATTTGAGACTGGGATAAAATGTGATATTCTAAGTATTTTGATTATATTTCATTGTCTTTTGCATAATATTGCACCCTTAAATAACAGTAAATCTCCAATGAAATGCATTTAGTTTTATTACAATTTTTTCAAGATGCAATTGAGACAAATGTTGGAAGATATGAAGGACAAGCGCAATAGTTTGATATATATCATATTATTAGCAATTTTTTAAAGTAATAGTGATTTAGAATCTTGTGAATATAAATGTGATACTGCACATTATAAAAAAAATTATGACAACTTAGAATGATCCATTAGAGCAGGTCTATGTCAACTTTATGCCCGCGGGCACCATGACACCCACCGATCGTTTAACATGTTCCCACCGCTGTACGATTACAATAAAAATGTTTTAGTTCTCAATAAAATTCTATGTGAAAGTTTTCTCATTTTTAATGAAACAGAAATTGCGTCCAACACAGATACCAGCACAAAGCGAAATGCGACCAATCTCTTATTTTTATGTGCATGTATTATTAACTCTATACAACTAATTCAGCTTAAAGTAATGGTGCCTGCTGTCCAACAGATATTCTAGAAGGTGCTCTTAAGGAAAAAAAGGTTGGGAACCTCTGCATTAGAACATAGGTTAAGTTACCATGCAACAGCTGCATCAGTATTATTTACCATGTTGTTGCATATCACACTACTGCTGTTTTGTTATCAATGCATTATTCTTTGTACTTGTACATAATAATTAACTTATTTTATTCCAAGAGTATAGCATATATTATATAAAATCTGTAAAATATATACTAATATACTGCTATTATTAAGATTTTGTATCTAAGGCAAAAGTTTTATGTTATAAAATTTATATATTGTAGTATATATTCTAATTATTACAGATTCTCACTTGCTTGGTGAATATGTACTAGTAGAGTGCAAAGCATCAGGGGTAATATATCTTTATTTTGTATATTTACCTTCCAATTTTTGCTATTTTGAAATGAATATAAAAATATTATTCATTTTTTAATTTTTAAATGTTTCAAGAGGCTTGCATGCTAAAATCAGCTATGAGGGAAATCCATATATATTTCAGTAGTGACATGGTAAATTAATAATTATTTTTTAAATAATATTCCTATGCCAAACCTAGGCAGCCTTTAGTACATAACAGGCAACCCAATACAGTTTAAAAACATTAAAAAAAGTACAATATTTTTTGACAGCATTAGCCATTGTCATGTTAAGTCCAGAACAAGTGTTCAAATGGTCACCGCCTGTGTCATCAGTATCACATAATGGGCAAGATGGAGAGTTGGCTAAACCAAATTTGTGTAGGTATTTCATGAGGTAGTCATGGCCAGCTTTTAATCCAAAGTTAGCGGCATAGACAGGTCTAGGTAGGTCGCAAAGATCTTCATTAGGGAATCCTAAATCTTCCCCTTCGCAGAGTCCCATTCTTCTTTCGAAGATGAGCTCAACATCTGCCTTCAATGATTCTCTTAGCACTGTGATAAGAAACAGGAGAAAACGGTTAAGGACAGATCCAGCCTTGGCCAGAGTACCTGTGATTCCAAAATGACTTGGGATCCACTACAGAGTAACATTGTGACCATTATTTATTAGAGAATTTATCACAAGCTGACGATTTAGAACATTGTTGTTTGACAATATTAGTTTATTTGAAAGTATGACTGAAAAAAACTGCTTTAATAGTGGCCTGTGACTCAATAAATATCACAATCATAATCTCTTTCACTGATTTCAAGTCAAGGTGTGTGTGTGTGATTATGGTAAAGCCTCGAGTGCTATCTGCCTAAGGGAAGGGACGCCTTCGTGGAGGACATTCTAAGAAAACTGCCTCGTATATATACGTTACACATGGGGGAAAACCACAAAGACACCCTTGCAGCCTGCCTGTTCGTGGGATTTGAACCTCGGATCGAACTGCCAGTGTTCAGCGGCCACTTAGCCGCTGGTAGGTCGTTTAAGGTATGAATTTATATATAGAAGATATTTACAGCAATTTGACATCATAAAACAGTAAGATTACAAGGGTGTTAGGAAAGAATAATGACCAATGTATAATTTGTTAATATAATATTCTTCTTATGACTGACACTGGTTGCAATCGGCCGCACCAAAAATAAATAAATATATATATACTCACTCTGTTACTAGGCTCAGTGATTTCAGTTTTTTTAATCTTATATGTTTGTAAATTGTGCATTTTTTTGCTTTAAGAGTGATTGAATTATGTTGTTCTTATGTTCCAGTTAAGGTTTTTATGCCTTTAGTTAAACTGCATGCGGTAGTCGTAGAATTATCAGCATCATTATTAAAAGTGTTAGTGGAGCCTATGTTTAAGATGGCATGGATTTGTTTAATTTGAAACTGTTAGTAGTATAGTGCAGGGGTGAACAAATATATATTCAGATTATAATATTTTCATTTTTTTATAATTTAACTAGCATTACTTGTATGTTTACACCTTTCTTTGATTATTTATTCTTTCCTGGCATACATTGTAAATTGCATCAGTGTAGCAAGGCTCTTCTATGCTGGTAAAAACTGGCCAGAAAAATACTTTTTTCATATAAATATCATTATGCTAATATTTTAATTATATACAAAATATGAAATTTTGGTGAAAACTTTAATTATTTTGCATTTTGTTGCAAAAATAAAATATTTATTTCGCAATAAGTTAAATCATTATTCATAAATTTATCCCTTTTAGCAGCCTCGCAGAAGCATCAATGTTAATTTCTTTGAATTTTTCCAGGTTCTTCCACTGTCCTCAAAGAAACCTAACTCTGGTTATAACTAGTAGCTGTACTATTTAAATGCTTTTTGTAATCTGTGGTAAATTATTAATTGTTTAGTTTTATTTTGATACACTGTGGGAATAATATTTTATCCCATGGAAATAATATTTATAACTTATAATGTACTTTTGTTAGAAATTCTGTTTCCAAAATCATCAGTTTTCCTTGCAGAATTTATTTTTTTTATTTGTACAACGTTCTTATTTACTCTATTGGATTTTGTATTTAACATGTAAAATTATTCAATTACTTCACTTGATAACTTGCTGATTATGCTAGGTGAGAAAAGTTGTTCCATTTGCTCAATGAAAATCTGAAAAATGAACAGTGAGAATTCTATATGTAATTTTATATTACATACTGTTACAAGGTGATTCAAAAATATGTAGGAAAAATGTAAAGGCAGGCAGAGAAGACTAAAATAAGTAGATTTTGTAATTAGTTGCAAAATATGTTTCTGTTCTCTGAGTAGCTGCTCAATTTTAGCTACAGGTGCATACGTAAAATGCATGTCAGTGATTTTGCCATTTGTGCAGTGATGCATACTGCTAATCTTGAAATATGAAAAACAGGGAGTGGTATCATTAAAAAAACCCAATTCAATTTGCTTTATAAAATAATTCAAGTATTTATAAAAGGATTCTGATAAAAAATATATTATACAGCTGCTAACCTTGATACATGAAATACCCAGCATTTCCAAGAAGTTTATGTGCTGTGAGATGATGCCATTTCAAGACTTAAATTCACATTACAATGCATATTCAGGTTAATGAACAATTTATAATCTAATTTTTAATACACTTTATAATATATATGTGTAAAAATATATTACTGTTTAATGTCATATTTTAAATAGACAGAATTTGTAGAATTTAAATTTCATTTGTTATAGGGAAACATTTCCGTTGGTAAAGGCTAAAAATTAAAAACTGGAAGATTCTATTTTTATTTTTACAAACTTTTTTTATTACTTTTAAAATTATTTTATTTATTTCTAAATTAATCTGTTGGAGGTATATTCCTTGATTAATTTCATTTTGTGATTTTCTTAAACTCTTAAACTGAAAAAAACAGGGAAGGAAACTTAAAAATTTTTTATCACACTACTTTTAACATGATGAACATGAAACTAATAAGTACTGTATAAACTTAGTAATATGCCATACATTAAAACAATTCATATCAAATAAGGCTTAATAAGTATTGCTGAAAATTCCTAGGAGTACGCATATGCATGTGGAATGACTATTTATGACAGCAGAACTTACTGCTTAACAATACTCTATACAACACACCATTCCTGCATGTACAGTCCATTACAATATCTGCTTATTTTAGTTCCCTCTACCAGCCTTTACATTTTTCCAAGATCTTTTTAAATCTTTTTAATAAAAAAATAGATTTTAAATGTTCTCAATATGCATGGGGAGTGTATATAAAGGATGACCCTCTTTATTTATCCAGCATCTTAAGGTTATGATTTATCCTACAATTAATGTAACAATATTCTTATTTAATAATGTATGTGTAATATGCATCTATTTAAATTCATTTCAGACTTCTCTTGTCGTGAATGGAATTTTAGGGAAGAAAGTCTTTATGTCAACTTTTTATCAAGCATCGATACAACAAGTCAGAATTATGGGACTAAATAAACCACCTAAACGAATTATAATTGATGGCAGTTATATTCTCTCCAATAAGCAGTATCACTGGAATATTGATACTAAGGTAAGTGGCAATACTCTCATTAATTGTTTGGGCAATACAACCCTGTATTTAAATGATTAAAGTATTTAATACTTTGAAATATTTTAAGTAATGTAAAATTTTTATTCATATGCTAATATTTCTTCATTCTAACTAACAGAATTTCAACTAATCATATATAAAGCATTATCTTTTTCTGCTACAAAAAAGATAATTTATAAATTATTATTAATTAAAAAGATCATTTATAAAATAATTTTATGACCACATGCAGGAACTTTACTCATTTTTTAATGCTTTTTATCATTGTTAGGTATATTTTTTTAATGTTTAAAATTTTCCCACGAAACTGAGAAGATATCTTTTGTTTTCTGTAATTTATAATATATATATATTTTTTTTGTATAATTCCTGTGTAAAACAGAAATTATTGGCTCATCTTCTGTAAAAAAGATAAAGCTCTCTCTTCATTTACGTCAGAAAAATTCCCCAATCTGCAATTTTTACAGTGAACAGTGAAAACAATCATTCAATTTCTTGATCTCTTAATTTTAAGAAATAGCAATATTCTTCAGACTACAATCTGTCACAAACCAGCTGGTAACAATAATCCTATTTGACTATTTTTCATTTTATCCACGTAAAAGAGCTGCTTTTTATTTTTGCATAATATGTTATAAGTATTTCTGTTAGAGACCTGAATTATACAAAAACAAACACATACAACTAATTGCAGGAGATAACCTCTGATTTTGTGGAAACAATGTTGTTACCTAACTAAGAATCCAAGTAAAGTTATTGAAAATTCCTATTACCGATCATCCCATGTATTAGAACAGATGAATCATCTATTGCAACAGATACTTCCATGTACACTGAGCAAAAAAAAAAAAAGGGGGGGGTCTCTTTAGTGTGTGGAAGGTCTGAATGCAAGCACTTCGGTAATTTTAAGTTCCATTTGTTCGGATCAATTGTGTGGATGCTCAGAGAAGTATTACTAGAGATGTGCTATTTCTGTTGATGAACTGGTTGACAAAGAGTTCATAGATTATCTTCTTTATGCTCAGCAATTCTTATTCTTAAGTTTTCTAGGTACTGAACTGACATGTTGGGTTTCTGCTTGTGGATTGAGATGATATATGTGCACTGCGCAAAAAAGAAAATGGGACAGTTCTACTGAGCCGACTGACGAAATTCAAATTGCGTTTTTCATGTCTCGAAAGTGCGATTTGGAATATCTATTAGATTTTTATATAGCATCATTCTAACATAGGTATTTTGAAACAAAATTGCACCTTTCTCTGAAATGACATGCCAATTTTTTTCCATATTTTTGATTCTACGACTCAAATTATGCCAAACTGCCAAGTTTTGTAAAAATCACATGAGTAGTTTTTAAAAAGTTAGCTCTCAAAATTGTAGCTCATTTATGTTAATTGAATTTGATATAGACTTATTAATCTTTTTTTTTTTTTTTTTTTTAAAATTAAACATACCCTGATTCCTTCTTCCAGAATCCAAAATTTTGGCTTAATCCAAATATAATTTGCACATTTTATAATTTTATTTTAAAAATTTATATTTTAAAATATTTTTATAAATTTTTCAAAATCATTTCTGTACAATTTTAAACATCATCCTAAAAAATTTTCAATATCATCTTAAAGGTAGATGTATTTCTAGACATATCTGCAAAATTATTTGAATGTAGTATAAATAATGACTTTTTTTCTGCTCTTTTGCAATGACAAAAAGAAAAGGAAACTAGGTTGCTAAAAATTAAGAAGTCCACCGAATTTTGAATTTCTCCGTAAATTTCGCACCAATAATTTTAGTCTTAGTTACAATTTTAGTTTGATAATTTGAGTCGTAGATTCAAAATATGGAAAAAAAATTGGCATGTAATCTCAGTCCAATTTCGTGTCAAAATGCCTATGTTAGAATGATGCTATATATAAATCTAATACATATCCAAGTCGTGCTTTCGAGACATAAAAAAAAACACAATTTGAATTTCATCAATTGGCCCACTAGAATGGGAGATATAGAGCTGTCCCATTTTTCTTTTTTGCGCTGTGCATATATTATCCCAATCCACAAGCAGAAACTCAACATGTCATTCAGTATCTAAAAAACTTAATAGTAAGAATTGCTAAGCATAAAAGAGATAATCTATGAACTCTTTGACAACCAGTTCATCAACAGAAATAGCTATGTCTCTCTAATAATACTTCTCTGAGCATCCACACTCGACAGCCGATCGGAAGGAGTGGAACTTAAAATTACCAAAGTGCTTGAAATGTACTGAAGAATTATGAAACTCTGTTAATAACATGTTAAACTGCATGGCATTGGCATTATCTGGAGGTTCTGGTAAAGTGCTCATCCACTGGTTCCGCAATTCCTGCACAATGTGTGGCAACACAAATGCTCTATGATATCAAGTGAATTTGGAGGCCGAGACATGACTGGAAAGTCACTGGTATGTTCCTCAAACCACTCCCTGATATTGCGACCCTTATGACATGGTGCATTATCTTGTTATATAAACATTGTACTGTTGTCCTGAATGGGTGAACCTGGTCTGCACAGAGCTCCCAGACATCAGGGATTGTTCCATGGATTATGCTCCATGAAACCATCTTTTAATACCCCTGCCACCAGCTTGTCTTACCCAACTGTGCATCCATGGTTTTGTTTGGAAATTGGCTCTTCAGTGTATAAAGCAGCTATGCATTGTCCAAACATAGCACAATCGGCAGCATAATGGAAAAAGCAGCTGTTTAAATCATTGTGGCTCGGCAACTGGGAACATCAGTATCAGAAATGGTGCATTTAGTGGGCTGTTCATGTGCAGTTGTTGTGAGGACATATTGAATTGATTCCAGAGGAGAGCAAAGATTGCTACATCTTGTTTGCTGTGACCAAAGAGCTACAACAATGGCGACCCACACAGTGTTTCTCAACACACTGTGCAGCATACATTGCTGCGTATGCCTGTGCAGCCGGAGGCCGAAGCATGTCCCTGCACTGACGGCATGTCATCGCCAGCTCTGCAATAGGCTGAGAAAAATTAGAATTGGACATTAGAAGAATGGAAGAAAGTTGCATGGTCCGATGAATCACATTTTCTGGTCCATTACATGGACAGTGCATGCTAATATGGCAATTTCCACCCTGATTCTTGGATGCACAGTTGGACGAAGACAAACCGGTAGTGGGGATATAATATTAGGACTCATAATCCCCATAGAACCATCTCTGACATCTGTGAACATCGTTGCAGAGCAGGTTCATCTATTCATGACAACAGGATTTCTGGCAGGGGATGATGTTTTACCAATGTCATAAGGGTCAAATTGTCAGGGAGTGGTCCCTTCCAGTGACTTTCAAGTCATGTCTTAGCCTCCAAATTCACTTGACATTAATCCCGTAGAGCATTTGTAGTCCACCTGGAGAACCGACAAGCTGTCTGCAAAAGCTGTGACTAATGTTTAAATGTGGTTTCTGTATACCTGGAATATTTTATCTCGTAAAATTTTCAACTAATAAATAACTATTTTGCACAGGAAATGGAAAAATTTTCATAAGTTAATATAAAATACAGGGTGCATCAGAAAATGTATACACACTTTGAACTCTCGGAATAGTAAGGTTATAAATCCAATTTGAAAAATAAATGCACTTTCTGGTCAAACTTGAATTCTAAATGGTGCTTAAAGTAAATTTTCAATTGGTAATCTTCAGGGAGTACGAGACAGGTCTGATTCTGTACTTTGCATGAAAATGTCCAATGCATATCGCATGAATCTCATCCCAGAGTGTGTCAAGATTATGTGATTTACGACACATTACGATGGTATTCAGGTCCAATTTTGTGAATGGGTTCAGGAAATGGCATTGTCATAATTCCCTATTGTCAATACGAATGGAATTGTCATAATTGTGTTTACTGGATTGAAGATAATCCTCACATTACTGTTAAAAAGGTTGTGAATTTGCTGGTGCAAAAGTGTAGGGTGGTTTGTCTCCTAAGGTAATCATTGAACCTTTTCATTTTGAAGGTTATGTAATTAGTACCTAAGAATGCTTGCTAATTCCATTTTCCCTGATATTCTTTAATGTACAGTAATGCCATATTTTATTACCAACAAGATGGTGCCTCTTAGTACTATCACAGGAATGTACAAGAATACCTAGATCAAAATTTACCAGGCCAGTGAATGGGACTAATTGAGCCAGTGAATGGGACCTTTGTGCTCTCCAGACTGACACACTTTGGGATGAGCTTCAAGCGGTGTGCGCAGAATCCCATTAAGTATAGGATCAGTCGTGACTCATAACTCAGAAATGTATTGATGCTAAAGACCACCATTTTGAACATTTACTTAAACACCATTTGAAATATTCAGTTTGACAAGAAAGTATACTTATTTTTCAGCCCTACTTTTCCCAGAAATTTAACGTTGTAGGTTAGAAACTAACTTTTTTTATGAAAGTTCAAACTGTGTATACATTTTTCTGATGCACCCTGTATATATTTTTTCATAAGAAATCAGTATATAAGAAAAATATTTTAGGAAACTGCTGAGATTGAAAAGCATTATATGTATACCTCGTCCATAATATCCTAATAATCTTACGCACCTTGAAAAGTCATGTAATATATTTCCCGAGTTACATAGAATTTGATAAATGCCACAATGTCTTTTATTTTAACCATGTCATATGCTTTTAGGTATTGGATTTGAAACATTTTCTGATACCTCTTGGAAGACGTACAGAAGTCCAGTGGGTTTTCTAAAATTTGAAGTTAAAGATAGCCTGCTGGCAGGCTATATATATTGAAAATTGTGGTATCGTTCCTGTCATATTTTATACAATTTTTATATTACGTAACTTATTCTATTTCTCGCCATCAGTTAAATCTTGTTTTGAAGTTAATGAAGTTGTATAATTGTTTTCATACTGTGCCAACTGATAAAAAGTTGCTTTTGTTAAAAAATGCACATAATTGTGAATTTTGCCTTTCCAAGAAATACTTCCTAAATATTTCAAAATAAATTATTTTTATATTAGTTTTGCATTTAATAAATAAATCATATTTATGTTTCTGAAATATGTCAATATGTACCCAGAAAAATTACATACTGTCTGTAACACTTAAACTGAAATTATTAGTTTGATTTTATGAAATTATTAATTATGTAAATTTTGTATGTATATACTTTTACATTTGGAACATTCATTTCCTTCTGACAACAATAAAATGCTTAAAAATTCTGCATACTGCTAGACTGAATGTGTCTTATTATATGGAGATTTACATTTCAATCAACACTCGTCCGACATTAAAAAGAATATAATCTGAATAATAATTTTTTAAAGCATTTCATTAATTCAATTCATTTTAAAGCATATCATTAATTCAAATTTGAATAGAGTTACACTATTTTCTGATTTACCAGTAAAAATAATGGATGTGCAAATGTTAACAATAACCAAATAAAAGCCTACAGGAAAAAAAAAAAAAAAAAAAAAAAAAAAAAAAACATTGTAATGAAAGTGATACTGTTTAACTAAATATGTCATTTAAATTTCTCAAAAAGCTAGTATGTGATTCGGGTAAGTTTCAAATATGGTGAAAAGTATATGTAACTCATAAATGGCTTATCACTACTCAGACAGACGCTACTGTTCAGAGTCATCTGTCATTTAAATTCACCTTGCCGCAGAAGCATTTCTGGTTACTTAGTTAATTTATTTGTCTTATAAGTCCCAAGAAGAAGAATGTAAAGAATGATGGTAAGAAAAAAAGGTTTATAAAGCACTAGGTAACAGACAAACATGAGCAAGGCATAAGAGTAAAAGACTTAGAGCAATGCTGTACGATTGTACAACTTCTACGATATGTACTATTCTGAAGCAGAAGAATAGTACATATATAAAGGCTACAACTTCAACTAAAGGAGCTAAAATTATTTCAAAGCTTCGCAACTCTGTCTATGAAAAGATGGAGAATCTGCTGTTATTGTAATTGACAGAGAAGCAGCTTACTGGAGACATGCTGATAAAGACTATATAAAGTGTGAGAAGGCACAAATCACTTACATAGATTTGCCGCAGCAGAGCCCAGGTATTCCAGGAGGCTTAACAGGAATAGTTCAAAGCTGGGGGTGGGGGTCGAAAATTTCCGAAAAAGGATTGGCATTCACTCTGTTGTCAGGTATGAAGAGGCAGCGAGCTGTGATTCTAAGATAGCTGAGAAATTTGTAAAAAGCCTTTGCTGAACTGATCAAAGCCAAATTATACACCCCCGTGACGAGACAGGGCTCTTCTGGAAGTAGATGCAAGCAAAACTTGCCTAATGGCAGAGGAAAAGAAGACGCCAGGTCACAAGCCCGTGAAAAATAGGCTGACTCACTCACTGTACGCAAATGCAAGTAGCGATGGCAAAGTCAAGCTGCTGCTTGTATACCACTCAGAAACCCCAGAGCTTTCAAGAGGCATTAATTTTAAAAGAGAATCTATAGGTTATGTGGAGGACAAAGGCCAAAGGCCACCAGAAGTGTTTTTTGTGGAGTGAATCAACTTGGTCTTTGGTCCTGCCGTTAAGAAATACCTCAAAGTTTTACCCATACAAGTCATTTTCTTCCTTAACTATGCTACTTGCCACCGACCAAACTTTGAGGACAACATCAAGAAGTTTATAAAGATTCTTTGTTTTGTTTGATTCTTTGTTTGTTTGATTTCTAAAGATTCTTTGTTTATAAAGATTCTACACCATCCCTATGCTACAGCCCATGCACCAATTTCAGGAAACTTTTTCCAAACACATTTCAACACTGCTTTGAGGTTAAGAACATAAATCTCACCCTTCGATAGTTCTGGAAGGACCACTATAACATTGCCATATGCCTCAAAATGACTGATATGTCCTGGCAGGGTGTTACAGAACAGACCTTGACCTCTGCATGGAAAAACCTGTGGCCTAACATAGTGACTGAAAAGGACTCTAGAGGATTTAGACCTGAACGGGAAGTGCCAGAGAAGACTGTGTATCTTGGAAAGTCCATTGTTCTGAAAGTGGATAAGGGAGATAACAAAGAGCTTGTTACCGCACAATTCGAAGAACTGATGATGAAGGAGTTCATGGAAGTACAGATGCAGCAACAAATGGAATTTCTGCAGCAGACTGCAGAAGAGCCAGAAGTAGAGGAAGCTAGCTCTTCAAGTGGGATAAGAGGATGTGTTGTCTATGTGAGAAAAAATTTCAGACTTTGTTGATTAGAAACACCCTAAAAAGGTTGCAACTGGTAGTGCAGCAATGCTATTTAATGACAAATACCTAACTCATTTCAGAAACATTCTAAAAGGGAGAATGAAATGAAGCTCTTTGGGACAGGTTTCTATTGAAACACCCTTTGGATGAAAGTGACAAAAGCATGGCAAAAAAAGAACTACTGAAGAACAGAATAAATTTAGCAAAAATGAGGGAGAGAAAATTTAATATACATGTATCTGTTTATTTTTTTAAAATTTTTTATTTGGTTTTATTAAAAAATTAAATTATTAGGTCTTATTTCATTTCTGTACGGTATTTTTTCATTATAAATATTTTTTTCTCATGTTGAAAACATTTAATAAAAAAATTGGAATGATTTTTTATGGGCTAGCAAAAAAATCATATCATTTCAACTTAGGAGCTCGGTCACAGAACAAATTAAACTCACTAACAAAGTACCACTATACTTAGCAAATAATTAAAAAATACATTCTAAATAAATAAATTTATTCAAACAGTTGCTTACCTCAAATGGTATCGAAAGCAGGTAGAAATCCCAATGCTGGCTACAAAAGCTAATACTTTCCACTAATTCCAAATATCAGTCACTCTTGAGATGTGGGAATAAAAATGGTAAACATTATTTGGTTGCGAGTTTCAAATGAAACCAAAACATTCATTAATACTGAAGTGTAAACTGGAAAAAATTAGTTGTACTATACAGAAATCTAGCCTTTGGAGGCTGCGAAAATCATTTTGTGCCAACTCAAATTTCTTAGAAAATATCTTTTATGGCATAGTAGTTTGAAGACAGCCAAATTTACATTTTCACACAAGTAGGTCCATAATATCACACTGAGAAATAAACAACATGAGTGCTATAAAAAACCCTCTTTAAAAAAAGAAAAGGTGTCTAATTAATTTATTTCAAATAATTAAAATTAAATGAAAAAATTTTTTTAATTATGTACATACTGCTTTAACAGTATTTCAAGAACTAAAGGAGGTTTAGAAATATTGCATTAGTGATATGACAATAAAAATTAGTCTGTGTTTGATTAAATGACATTTCTCCCACTTCTTAATATTAAAAAACTGAACATGATTAGTATTAGTAATACAACGTAAAAATACCTTTTTACAAACTATAATATTTATTTGTAGTACTTTTTGACGAACTATAATATTTGTAGTACCTTTTGACGAACTATAATATTTTTCATTTGCACACACACATATACTGGTTTCCAAGTTACAAAACAAATTAAAAAGTCATGATAAATCGGCTAAAAGTAGTTCAAAATTGTTGAAATTTGGAAGTGTTACAAATAAAAGCAAGTTATATTAAGAAGCATTATATTATAAAGAAGCATTATTAGCCTATCATCACTGTACGTAAATATGATGCAGCTTAAAATTTCGGGAATCACTGAGGGGCATTATTATATTAAACAATTTTGAGATAGCCAAAGTGTGAAAATGAGTTCGAAGCTATATTTGCCATGATAACTGTGTTATAGAGACAATGGCCAATAAGAAGCATGTCAACAATAATCTGACATCGTAAAATGGCTAAATGTTGACTGTTCCATGCCAAGCCTCTTGTGAAACCAATTTCTAACTACTGTTTCAGCCTCTCGAAGACCTACTAAATGTAGGCCAAACGTTTCAACCTCTCCAGATGACTGTATTTGCAACTTGGTGCACATTGCAACAGGATTTTCCTGCTTTCATCATGTATGGTACAGCACTGCTTAAAAACAGGAACAAACAACTGACAAATTGCTGAGTGAATCACTTTTCTGAAGTCATCGACATTAAGTAAAAATATCTTACCAGCTAAATCTTGATCCAGAGTTCCTATTATGACATTGCATACATTAGGACCATTAGCATCATTCTTTCCATCAACTGAAATATTTTCCCCCTTTTAGAGTTTCTGTAATTTTCTCCATTACTTCTAAGAAATAGTCATCTATGATAGATACATAACATATCATTTGGTCTACATATTTTTCTAGAGGATGCCAAAATATAGGTTATTCAGTTTTTTTAGATGAATGTGAAAAGCATTAACTGTTTTACTAAAAAATGCGTATACTATTATACTGAATTAAGAAAAGCATATAGCAAAAAAATCTTTGTACATATGCATATAAACTCTTGTGGGAAACCTTAGTGAGCTTTGTTTTAAATATATGTAAGGTATATCCTAATTTTATAAGAGTTATTTTTAAGTTTATACCCCTTTCCTGTCTCTTCTAGCTTCAGCTTACAATTCCTTACTAGAATGAGTTTTTAGAATTGCGTTAAAAGCAAATGAGTAGAAGAGAGTATTTAAGTCAAAGTTCACTGACTTTGATAGAGAGAATAAGGCTTCCTGAATAGCGCACATTTGCCTTTCAGCTATGTCTCTCTAAGCTGTTACTATGCTCGGCCATTACATGCCCTTGACAGCTTCACTAGCTAATTTAATATTAGGGGCTAACTAGTTTTTGTGTTAACTTCGGCTAAATCTCTTTAGTTAGTCATTAGTCAAGTTCTTATTTCTTACATTTTTAAGACCAAGTCGAGGTTTGTTGTATGTCCCAAGAAAGGGACCATCTATACATCTTTATTTTGAGCATTAAAGGGTAATTAACCCTTCTTGAGTCTGCTTTCTGTTTTTGGACTTAAGCAATTATTCTCTCAGTAGTTCACTAGGTTCCTCAATACTTAGTTAATAGATAAAAGTGAGGATCCCTACAAATAATAAGCTCCATTTTAAACCTAATATCTGAAGAGACATATTCTGTCCTAGCCTGTTGCAAAAAGATTTGAACAAAACTACACTGCTCGTTTCAGCAGTACTTTCAAGGCAAGAACAATAGTTTAGGGAAAAGTAAATATGCTGTCAGCCATATATATATAGCAACTTACCTTATCAGCTGAGCAAAAAATAAAGGAGATTTTATCAATGCACGAAAAAATATTGCATACAGTTGTGAGTGTGTAATTCCAAGAATGTGCTTGAAAGATGTTTTTTTCCTACCTCTGCATGTAATCTTACGTAACCGAACCTGCACAAAGTTTTAAAGACCTCGGAAATGACACTCGTACCTTGTAGGAAAAGATTAGGATAGATAGGAGTAACAGATTACGTGATCAGTTTTCTGTGGCCAGGATGTGCCTGCCAAGTAAAAATGAGCTCACAACAGTTGAGACAGTATTATTTTATTATTTAGTTTGATTACGTGAATTGTGCCTCTACAGGCTATGAAATTCTGCAAAAAAATCTCAAGAAACTAAAAGAAAAAAGTTTTAGAAGAGGAAAATACTTGAAAAATTCATATGTCATCAAAATCGAGGCCTTATTTTCATTAATACTTAAAATTAATCACTAATACATATTAGCAATATTTAACCAAATTAATCACTAATACTTATTAATAATACTTAACTGAATCAGAATTACTTAATGATAACATTCAAGGGTTCCCCGGACTGCAAGGAACATAATATAAATTGAATATTACACCACATAAAAAATATTATGCTACAAGTTTTTTCATAAAAAAAAAAGATAAAAAAAATTAAAATACATTTACCTGTTGCTGCACAGACCTGCAAATGAGAAACAGCAATTTTTTTTTTTTTTTTGCAAAAATGATGTTATTATACTACCTTTGAAGTAGATTTTATTACAGTATAGTCCTAGTGTTTATTAGATTGCACATAAAACACATGATTATGTGAAAATTCTGAACAAAATAAACATGGCTACAGCTCACCATAACTTTGTCTATATTCTGAAGAACTTTTTGCATCTTTAAAGTGACATGGTAAATATATTTTAATCACAACAGTTTGTAATAAAAATATATTTGAGAATAAAATACACAAGTGAAAATGTGCTTTAGCCCACTATTTTGTATGGTTTTGGAAATCACCAATTTGGTGAATTTCAAGGCAGTGTTTGCTGAAGGGTTCAAACTCCAGGAAACACTGCATGGAAAGAGGCACTAAATAGCAGCATACTAAAGAAAATAAACATTTTTAAGTTACCTGATTTTCCAATGCATTTTTTTCCACTGGCAGATACAGCTTGATGATAGGTGACAGGAACAACAAATTATCCACAAACTTACCCTTAATCCATACAATTTCACAATACTCAAATAACTAATTAAATCAAAAACCTCTCTTCGCACTCTCACAAATATCGTGCAGATTCACATTCCCTTGCCGTCAGCAATGTCATTCAAATCAATCAATTTGTCCATCTCTTTCACATAAATGCCTATCTCTATATTTCAGATACAATCAAATCCGTTTCCATGTACTAGTTCAAGATTATGTACATGAAAAGGAGATTCTTGCCTTGCACCTCAATAACCATATAAAAAGCCTGATGCGACCAGCTCATGACATCCTGCCATTTCAATGTTAAAAGACATGGAGGAATAGCAACAAGTGTTACATAAACTGTAACTTCAGACATGATTGTTTGTAAATCCAGTTTGTTAAAAAAATTTATGGCTCAAAGTTAATTAGTAACACTTTACTCTCCTATACAATGGACAATGACAACTACATGTTCTCTTGTACACATCTGTTACTATGCATTAATTTGAAAATATCGCAATAATTGCAGAGTACTCTCTCTGGTAGCATAGTGTTTCAGATTCACAAATCAATGACTTAACAATAAGAAAATTTTTATAAGCAGCATATCTTTAGAATTTCAAATATACTGTTGCCATGCACTTCTTTTTATATTTGCTATATTACTTCTTTAAAAATACAGCAATAACATTTGGTAGTAGCATCGTTTTATTTGATAACTGAAACAAACATAAAATTTTGAATGGAGACTAATATATTTATTTAACTGCTTCATAAAGAGAGCTTGTCTTCATAATGAACTTATTTTCGTTACATTTAGCACAATTCCAGGTTTACATTTACTGCTTATAAATGTAACATGTTGTTCTCAGTCACATATCTATTTTAAATACCAAATTTGATAAGTTTTGGATTATCTCATAATACATATTTTTCACGAAAATCTGTTCTGAACTTCAAGAGAAGTATCAGTTCCAATTTATCAGTTTTAGCTAAAGTTTAGTAAGCAGTTCCAACTGATGTAAAAGGCTTCATATATACAGACATTATTGTTAAAACCATAAAAATATGTGGGAATCTTAATTCATGCTTATTCATTGAAAACTCACTATTTGAACCAAAAAATTTACCTCCCTTTACACATGTATATAGGTTCGCAGAAAGTAAAAATAGCGAGTGCCCTTTTTTCTCTTCATCAAAGCTGTTCATGTGCATTTTTTGGATTCAAAGACCCACTAGTGTAAACAGGCTTTTATGGACTTCAAGTAAAGTACAACGTCTGATTGTCCAATTTTACCCAAAATCTAACGAACTCTGTTTATGAATGTTGAAAGCTTAAATACAGGAAATTTGAAAATTTCATAGTAGAACTATCGTGAAACAAAAAATAGTCACACACAGACATTCTACAAACAGTAAAAACATGTCATGGGGACGCTAAGTCGTGCTTATGCATTATCATATTTTTGGACCAAAAACATAACCTCTCTTACTTATGTATATAGTTTGGCGGGAGGTAAAAACAGTTGTATGTTCAATCACCTTTTCCATAGTTACAACTTTTTCACATGGGGATTTAGTATTTAAAATATCCACAGAAAAAACAAAAACATGACTGATTTGCGTGAAGTTCTTAAGCATAAGAATGGTAATAATCATTGTCAAATTCAAACTGCTACATCATTTTAAATCTCTCTCCTCTCCTAATAGCCAAAGAAGCTTGTCAATCACTAATTAACCAACTCAAATTCTTAATCCCTCTTCTTCCCGGTCTCTGAAATTAGTCAAGAACCTATCAATTTAATCAAAATCCCAATCTCAAACAAGTTTATGTATGTTAATATCCAATTTTCTACTCTTCCAACATCACAAGCTTCAGGCAAAGAATCTTGAAAGCTCCTTACTTCAAATGCCTCTGTACTTCAAAATATAAAGACTGCCAGTAATTGCACACTCAAGATCCAGGAATAATTTCATCACCAGGAATTGGACTAAAAAAGCATTCCATTCCATTCACAGACACATGACATCAACATAATGATTCTAGTAGATCTGATGTATCGATCGTGATGTCAGCACAATCGTAGGCTTTGTTCAAATGCTCTAGTAGATCTGACGTATTGATCGTAATGTCGGCACAATCGTAAGCTTTGTTGAAATGCAAGGAGCATCTATGAGACTGACATTTTCCATAGCAATTTTTGTCATCTACTTGTAATTCTGTAAAAGCAGGTAGAAATCAGTAATAATTACAAAAATTTAATAATAGATGAAATTTCATGGAAACAACCATAATGACACTATAATCAGAAAGAGATTCATCAGAAAATATGATTACACATCACTCATGCATCTATGTGATCATAGAATGTAACCATTAAGGGCCATTCAGACGGGTTTATATGAGCTAACAAAGTCGGTTCCATGTGTTGACTAGCCCTGCTATGTGTGCAGTTCATATTTTTCAACTCGCAGCAGTATGGGGTAAAACTGGTTTTTGAGATGGGTCGGCTAAGTCAGTTGTCTGTGTTAGCTCACAACTGACTTTTCAGAGGGGCCCTTTCACTGGGGTTTATCTGAACTAATGGAGTCAGTTCAGTTTCATGTGTCGACTAGCTCCAATGTGGCTGCAGTTCAGATTTTTCAACTTGCTGCCCTACGGAAAAAACTGGTTTTGGAGATGGGTCGGCTACATCAAATGTATTCATTAGCTCAGATAAACCTCAGTGGAAATGGCCCTTGACAGGTGCTTATTCCTGTGCTACAATATCATGAAAGCCAAAACAATAATCATCTGCTGACAATCTGTGGCATTGCAGATATCGTCACATCATACATGCTGATATTTTGTACTGTGTCATACAGTGAATTTTCTGACACAGGTTTTGTAATGTGACTATATGATCCCTAACAATGATGTCTATCATCTCAGTCACTGATGAGTGAAGCCATTGAGAACCTATGCAGCCCTCCTTGACGTATTTATAGCAAAATCTCGTAACAATCATTCGATTTTAATCAACATGAGCAGCAGTTACATGGTATGATATTCATAGATCCAGTAAACTACAATTCTCTTGTCACTGAATTCTAAAACATATTGGTATCAGTTCCTTCTTCTTACAGGATGCATAACATAAAGAACAACAATTAAATGTGATTTCTGAATGAAAAATAGGCATTACAACACAATCTTGCATATTCTACCTTTCAGGCAAATTTCAGGTTTGTTGTGCACTTTTTTCACGGTATAGCAATTTTGACAGCCAGTTGTTTTCATATGAAAATACATATTTCCGCACAAATTTGCATTATACAATATGAACAAAGAAAAACCATACCTGCATGAAAATGAAAAAAAATTACAGTGTTGATACATTACTTTTGTTTCATTACTGCGAAATTTATTTAATTTGCAT